CGGTGAAACAACATGTTTACTCTTCTTCCAGGAAGCCCAACCAGATGTACGAGAATAGGCTGGAGTGATTATTCCTTCACAAAGAAGTCTAAGTAATTGTGGAAAATGATTTAATCTGCCTCCTTCCTTCCAATATCCATTTATTTCTCAACATTATTTACTCACCAATACTCTTTGATTACTAGGTACTGATTTAACATGTCCCTAGATTCCATCCTTATCTATTTTCTGGTTGAAGGTCTTTCTTTAGTTATACAAACAAGAGCATTTGGTGTTCTTAAGTCCAACTCTCTCATCTTAGAGAAAATGGACTTCTTGTCCAAATGCACACCAACAGCTCATAAATAAATGGTTACAAGAACACAGAACTCCTGAGCTGCCATCCAGGGCACTTTGCAAGATTCTTCTCAGGTTGATGACATAAAAGTTTACTGGCACCCAGACATTTGGTGACCACGGTTGCATTTGGAACAAAGAAGGCATCCTTTATTTATTTACTTTTCAATAGTGTATTGTCAAACTGGTTTCCAATAACACCCAGTGCTCATTCCCACAAGTGCCCTCCTCCATGCCCATCACCCCATTCCCCTCCCCGCCATACCCAACAGTCCTCAGTTTGTTCTCAACATTCAAGAATCTCTCATGGTTTGCCTCCCTCCCTCTCTCCCCCATTTCCCCCCTTCTTCTCCTCCACGGCCCTCCGTTAGCTTCCTCCTAATCCTCCTATACGTGCAAACATATGGTAACTGTCCTTCTCTGCCTGACTTATTTCACTCAGCATAACATCCTCAAGTCCATCCATGTTCCTACACATGGCCAGATTTCATTCTTTCTCATTGCCATGTAGTATTCCATTGTATAGATAAACCACATAAGACGGCATCATTTAACATTATGTGCAACATCAGAAAACACAAACCCTATTGCCGGGAGCTGCACCGGCCTCTATGGATGGCAGTCACAGCAAGGAAATGGCAGTGTTTGCACAGCTACTGCCATGAGAAATGAAAACTGGTATCTCCTGGCTCATGTTGTGCTGGTATTGACCAGGCCTCACAATATTCCATATCAGACCGATATTCTGAACACAGATACCTCATAAGGAAAAGCATATTCCTGCCTTTACAAGAGAGATTTTAGATGAAAGCTCTATGGATGATTGTCAAAAGGCTCTTCCTAAGGGCCTTGCAGATCCAAGATTTAGGGGGTTAAGAACACAAGAATTACAACTGAGCCTGGCCCCGAGACAAAGAGCCTGATTTAGAGTTAAGGTACAGATAAGGGCAGAACTTAAGTTAATACTTACACCTTCTCCTAATTGGTGATGTATGGCAGTCCCTTCCCCAAGGCCTACTTTCTGCAAACACCCTCCCTTACAGGTGGCTGGGATGAGAATAGATAAGAGTAGCTAAAGCATTACCCACAAACAAAAGGCTGACACATTTAGGGCCTCCATGGTGTTCACACATTCAGCATCAAATAGGTTTCCACAAACAACTTATGAACCAACTCAAAAACATTCATTTGATAGCCAGACAGAATGACTCTTAGCCCATCTATACACTTAACCTATGACCTAACCTTAGCGTTATTAACTTAGAACAAATATGTATCCTGTCTTTTACTAAGAATACCCTAATTCTCTAGTTATAAGATTTCCCTAACCTCACTATAATTGGAATTGTTCTGCAAGAATATTTCTGTAAAACCTGCTTCTGTACACTTTCCAAAGCATCTTATCACAAAGAGTTATCCATTGTAAAAATTCCTTTTTCTGATGTCATGTTATCATTTAACCTATAAATAAAGACACCAAAACCAACAGGACAGAGATGCCTGCCTGGTGATCAGAAAGAATCATGGGGCTCTCTCACTCTCTCTCTCGCCGACACCGGCCATCCTTCAGGGACCCCTGGACCTGTCGGAGCTGGCTTGGCCTCCAGCACCCTATGACACAGTCTTAAACACAAAGGGCTTTCTTTTTCTCACATGATACCAAACCCCAAAGTAGGCTGCTCTGGGAGAGCATAGTCAAGAACCCAAATTCCTTCTAATCTTCTACTTCCCCTGCATATGTAAGCTTTCTACTTTGTACTTACAAATCTGGCCCCGTGTGTGTGTTCCATGCAAGAAGAAGGATTAAAAAAAAAAAAAAAAAAGGTGAAAACATAGGCGGTGGACTGCTCCCTTTAAATATGATAAAAGAGCCTACCTAGGACCAACCACTATCTATGCAATTCTGCATTCTCCCATTGGTCGAAGTTGGATCACAAGGTCATCCTTATTGGTAAAGAAGTTTGCAGCAGGATCTTTATTTTTAAGTTTTTACCTGGAAATAATCATAGAGTCACATGAAGTTGCACAAACACTGAGAGGCCCCAGCTAGCCATAACACTGCCTCCCTCGGTGGTCACATCCTCCTTAACCATAGCACGTTATCAAAACTAAGAAATGTAAACTGACAGATGAAGTTTGACTAAACTATGACCCCCATTAAGATTTCACCAGTTTTTTTTCCATGAACTTGGCTTTCATTTTTTGTGTGTCTGTGTATGTGGTTCTGTGACATTTTATCACAGAGCCATATAACTATGGTCAGAAGCAAGACACGGGGCAGTTCCATGACACAAAAGAACTCTGAGACACTGGTCTTTTTAACTACATACATTGCAGCCTGAACAAAATGCGGGATCTTTCTAGGAAGGGAGAAGGGCAATGGACTTGGGGTAGGTGACAAGCCGTACCTGCCGCAAAGGGTGACTATTTTAAGGAGAGGAGTTTTCCATGATCTCGGAGATATGAACAGATTCCATTCACCCCCCACCCTTCCTCCCAACACATACACTCCTTTTGTTCTTTAGAAATCTCTCAAACAAATGCCATACAATTTGATTTATGTCATGCTAGAGAGCTGTAATGATCCCATTGAGATGTGGAATTCATGGTTTCAAGAAACAGCAAATGTATGTCTGAGTTCAGTACCACTAAAACCACCCAAGAGGCCAATGAAAGAACAAAGCATTTTTGTTGTTATTGTTCTAATGAGAATAATTCCTTGACACAGGACCAAAAGGCAGTATGTACAGGAGAATGAAAAACTCAGAGGGTCTCAAATTGCATCATGTTTGGACAGGGATGCTGAGAATAAGGGTGTCCTCTTAACTGGAGAGCCAACCACGATTTGTAGTTCAATTCCAGAATTTCCAGAATGAAACCCAGCAATTTGCTCACTATGGCACCTGTGGAGCATTCCTTCTTGTTGTCTAACATGAACGTTCTCAAAGTGCCAATAATGAAGATAGAGGAATATGAAAAAAACATGTAGAAGATATTCACATTCATAGTGGAAAAAATATATCTTCCAGAAAGGAGAGAGAGAGAGAGAGAGATAATACAAGAAAACCATTTATTAAGTGAACTCTGATTTTGCTCTGTCAAAACAAGGGGAAGCTTGATCTGACCTGGTTGATTTGTGATTATTATAAAAAATCAATCTCATGACGTTCTACTGACTTGTATAAGAGTTGCCCTCCCCACAAACATTAGCTATGGAACAGTCTGCTGCAATTGCTGTTAATGTAATTAGCAAGAAGTTGCTCAGATCCTGGGCAAAATGGCCTCAACCATTATCCCAAGTAATAAAATAGGTTCAGGGAAAGCATTTCACCCTCCTATGCACATCCTTTCAAAATGATGCCTTTTCCACAATTTTTGAGGTAGTTATTGGCATGATGATGGTTACAGTGGAGTAAGGATCCATCTAGTCTGTACTGCATTGAACTCTTAGTGGTCACCCTAGGAGACAGCCAGCAAACTAATCAGAGGATGGGTGATACCAGTGTTGTGTACTAGCTTGCCCAAGACGAGTGATCCAGGCATCATTTCACTCTTTCCTTGGCTCCTTTGGACCCCAGTTCTAGAACATACTCTCGATAGCTGAACTGGACGATACATTTTTATGTACTCATTTCCTTTCATGTTAGAGGCGAGTTTCTGAACCAAAAAGGTGTTAATAACCAGAGAAGTGCATAGAGTTCGTGAAACCTCAAGTTGCAAGCATTAAACACCTAACATCCATAAGTGAAACAGATCAGTGTGGGACAGTAAAGGGTAGTGAGCACTGTGCCTAAGAGTAACATGAATATGCTACCCAAACCCATTCAAATTCACACACACACACACCCATAACAAACAAAGAAAATACAAACAAACACAACGTTGTGCTCATTGGATAGTGTGAAGGACAAATTCAGCCTGGGATCCTCCGCTATGAGACTTCTAGAAAGTGAAAGACAAACCTGAGACCAGTTGTATTCTTTCACAACTCTACACTTTTCCTTTATTACATAGCTGAAGTCCAAGTTTCTGTCTTTTTTATGGTTTCTTCCATCTGGAGGAATTTTTACAACAGGTTCAACCATAATGTTTTATCTCAGCCTCTAACACAGGTGATCCACTTTTCACTTGACCTGCAAAGCCTGTAACCTGGCACACTGATTCGTATTGCATTTTGGATACTAGGCGGTGATTTCTGGTGGCATCAGAAAGCTTCACATAGGTAACAGATGTCTAAGTGCATAACTGCCAAGTTCTGAGAGCTTGAGTTCTCTCCTGGCCCAATCCATAGAGGAGAAAGTGGAGATCGCCAATCTTACAATCGGGAAATCCTGTGTATGTGTCATGGTACAAAATAGGTTGTACTGATATTAAGAAAATATTAGGTGATTAATACTCAATGGTTTCTGTGGTCAAAAGTCCCCCAATACAAATATTTTCCTAAAAGTGTTTGAACTATTGTTTCATCTAGCAGCACTTGTGAGACTAAAGAAGGAATGTGGTCACGTGCAATGACACATGCACATATCCCAGGCTGGACCAGGAGGGTGTATACTTGATGTGATAGATTAAAGACGACAGCAAGGATGTGCAGTCTGAGCCTTTTCCCTTGAATCTACATGGAACTCTATGTTTGCTTGACAACAGAATGCAGAGAATTTATATTCTGGAACTCCTAGGGTTAGGTCTTAACGATATTTCATGATGTCCGGCTGCTCCTGACTTCTATCCTTTTAAAATGAACTGGTCATTCAGTAAGTAAAAAATTTCTCTGGGTTCTGTGAGCTGCTCTGGCAAATTAACCAGATAGAACCTCCATCTATCGCTAGTGGTCAGCCAGAGCAAAAGGAAGAAACTGGGTTATTGTCATTGTGGGGGAGAGATGGTCAGTCTTGTAGGATGGAGTCCTTAACCTGTGGAATCTGACATTACCTCCAGGTAGATGGTGACAACGTGGAGTTGAATTGTGGGACACCCAGCTGGTGCCCGAGAATGGCTTCGTGTGAGAAAACCCCCCTATCTACTTTGGGACTGAGCATGGAGCATTTTTACGTGGTTTAGCTCAAAGCCCTAAAGAGGATCATAGCAAACATTTGCATAGTAATTATTATCACCAGACACTATAACACACTCCCTTTTCAAAAAAATCTATGAACTAAGTGTTATTATTACCATACAGAAAAATTACATAACTTGTCCATGGTCACTCAGCTAGTAGGCAGCAAAGCTAGGATTCAAAGTCAGGCAACCTGGCTTCCGAGTCTGTGCTCCACTAAAATCCCAACACTCTTTTTAAAAAATTAGGTTCAGTTTATTCAAACTAAGCAAACTATCCTAGTGTGTACCACCCATCCTTGTTAGGTAGGTGGTCTATGTAGGCAGGCTACTTCTTCTTTGCTTCCCTTTGGGTAGTGCTGATGAGCATCATGAAGGACCACTCAGCCTGGTGCGGTGCCACTGGAGAATGTGGAGGGATGCCACACCACAGAACCTGAACGTGTTACACAATGCTCTATTTATAAGGATCCCCAGGAAAAAAAATCCTTCCTGACATTAGGGTCAAGAATAGTTACAATTGTTCTGAACAATTGATTCACTTTGAATAACTACTATTTGGTTTAAAAACAAATATACGGCCCTACTACAGAGGACCTCAGGTTATGCATTTTTCTATCTTCTCCCACCCAGGCTTTATTTTGTGTTCTAACCTTTGCTCCCTTTGGCATTCTGTGCTAATTCCTTAATTTAATGTGGCTGTGATTTGGGAATACTTATACATTTTTCTAAACACTTTTCTCTTCTTTTCTTTTCTTCTCTTCTTTTCTTTTATGTTTTAAAGGTTACTTAAAGATTTTGAGAGAGAGAGTGAGAAAGAGCAGGGGAGGAACAGAGAGAGAGGGAGAGAGAATCCTGAGCAGGCTCCATACAGTCAGCACAGTGCCCACCACAGGACTTGATCTCACAAACCCCAATATGATGACCGGAGCCAAAATCAAGTGTCGAACACTTAACCGAATGAGCCACCCAAGTGCCCCTAAGATAAGGTAGCTATCAATCAATTAATAAAATCATGTGTACAAAGATAGTTTTGAGTTCTGGTGCAACAGAATTTAACTTTGAGTACTCTGATCTTGACTCTGAAGTATGTGTGTCTATGCAAATTATACCACTGGTCACCACACTGGAAATTCTAGAATACTACTGAAAGAAAGTTTCTGGGAAAATATTTCACTAAGAGAAGGTCCAGAGGTGAAGAAAGAGATTTGTTGAAGACGTTATCAGTGAGAATGCTCTCAGGTAAAAGAAACAAAAATACTAAACTATAAGGAGATATAAAATCTAAGCAGGGCAATTTTTATTTAACAAGAAGTTTAGGGGCGCCTGAGTAGCTCCGTCGGTTGAATGTTTGACTTCAGCTCGGAGCATGATCTTGCAGTCTATGAGTTTGAGCCCCGTGTCAGGCTCTCTGCTGATAAGCTTGGAGCCTAGAGCCTACTTTGGATTCTGTGTCTCCCTCTCTCTCTCCCCCTCCCCCGCTCGCACTCTGTCTCTCTTGCACCTTCTCTCTCAAAAATAAATAAACATTGGGGCACCTGGGTGGCTCGGTAAGTTAAACGTTCGACTTCAGCTCAGGTCATGATCTCACGGTTTGTGGGTTTGAGCCCTGTGTCAGGCTCTGTGATGGCAGCTAGCTCAGAGCCTGGAGCCTGTCTTTGGATTCTGTGTTTCCCTCTCTCTCTGACCCTCCCCTGCTCATTCTCTCTCTCTCTCTCTCTCTCTCTCAAAAATAAATAAAGCATTAAAAAGTTTAAAAACATAAATAAACATTAAAAATTAAAATATATGTATAAAAAAAAGAAGTCTGGCGGCAGCCCCTTTCAGGATTACTCATTAGCCTCTGCCATGGCAGTGTGGATGACTGTCCCATACATTCTCTTGGGCTCTGCCCTGGATGGTAAGGTGGCTGCTGCCACTTCCTCCGTGGTTCCTTCCCATGACTGCTTCCAGGGCAGAACACAGAGATTCTCTGTAGAAATGCTTTTGCTTTCATCACAGAGAGAAAATCCTTCGTAGAAGGACTCCAGAAGACAGCTTTACATCTCCCTGTTCAAAACTAGGAGCCGGCCCTTCTTGGCTGCAGAAGAAGCTGGGAGAGGCAACACTGAGTTTTTATCCTTTATAGTATAATGCAGAAAAGCAAAAGCATGGCTCGGAACAGTCGTTAAGCAGCCAAATATTGCTGTCTGCCATGAAAATTCAATTAAAAAAAAAACACTGGAGATATAAAATATTTAATAACGTTGATGGCCTGCACAATAGCCAATTACAAGAGAGGATGGCCTTGAACAGCTGCTTAGGCCGTAGCAGGGGCTGCCTGTTACATATGAGTCTTGATTACGTATAGATCCCCCAAAACGTTAGTGAAATTCTCGCAAGAATGTTCATGTCAACTTTGTAGTTCTTCCCAGGAAGGAAATAGAAGAGCTTTTGTTCCATTGGGCTTTGAGGAGAGAGGTGTACTGGTGGTCCGCAGTCCGTGGGGACACATTCTGGGGTACTTCTTAGGGTTGGAGAACGGGTCAAGGCCACAGGCCTCTCGAATGACCCCCTGCCTTTGTCAGAGCAGCTCTGTATTTGGTCTCTTTCTGTGCTGAGTGTAAAAACCAGTTCGCTGCTAGCAAAATGTCCGATAAACATGGGTAATTTGTTGCAGCTGTAGTGCAGGGTGTCCCAAAAAGTGATCTTCCTCAGAACCCCCGAGGTGTGCTTGTCTAAAATTCATTTTCCTAAATCTTATTCCAGACCCATAAATTAGATACTCTGATTCATTGATTTGGGGTGGGGCCCAAGTTTCTGTATTTTAAGCACGATCTCAAACTGGAAACCTACCAAGATCTCCTATGCCCCAAACCACCCTAAAAAGCCACCGATTTCAATAATTAAAGACATAAGCAACGATTAAATTACAAGGATGATTATTCATGTCTGTCTTTAATGGTGATTTTTTTTTCCTTTTCTAAAGCTTGTTTGACATTCAGCCTTGAAATGCTCATACAGATTCTGAAATGACATTTCTGGCTTCTCTTGGCTTGTGTCTATGTAGGCAAAGTAAAAAGTGAAATATTCATTGAAAGTGTTCTATATAAATCACTTCTTGGTCCCTGCCAGGAATGCTTTGTTCCTTTCATCAATGGGGCAGTAGTTTAGAATAATTGTTTCAAATGACTGATGTAAGCTTTTTTTTTTTCCAGGAGTTAAATAAAAACAGGCAAGAACAGACACAGGAAGAAGTACTTTGCAAATGGTTGCAATTCAGGTACTCTGGTATTAGATCCCAGCAGTGCGAGAGATTAAATTTCAAGCATGGAGACTCATTCTTGTGTTGTGCCTGCGATTGTAAAGCATCCTGAGGCACTCCTTTCCAGTAATAATTACCCTCTTGGTTAATGCAGTTGTTCCTAAAAATTAAACAGAAAAGTCCTAAGAAAATTATGGTTTCTTGTTGTGTATCACAATAGGAAAGGATAAACTGTAGATTCATTAAATGCTCTCGCTTCTGTTTCTCTGTGGCACTGATTTTTCAATTCAGAGCTAAAGCTGATGCTCTTACACTAAAAAGCCTGTTTATAAGATCATTTTTAATCCTCTTCCGAAAAGGTTTAATTTGTAATGGAGTATGCTCTCTCCTCTCCTTTAATTGTTCACAGCAAACAATGCAAATGAAAATGTCTTTAATGGCATGGAAAACTGGGGATAGAGAATTCTCACACATTAGCTTTCAGTATGTTTTTTATAAATTCTCCGGAAATGGCATTATATTTTGAATAAGGGCCCTCTCTCATTACAATGGAAACATTGAACAAAAGAATGAGAGCCTGGGTTTCTGTCCCAGAGGCAAGCCCACCAGGACCTAACATAATAATAAAGAGCAATAGTTTTGATTAATGACTACAGTGAGTAATCATTCTGTTCAGGTTTTATTTCCCGTTTTGCTCTCTCCTGGTCTCCTGCTTCCCTGTCTTCCGTCTTCATTTCAGTGACTCTCATCTCTTGTTCATCGTTAAGGGTACTTTGTAGAATTGCTTCAAAATAACATTTTGTGTATTTTAGAAAAATACCAAAGTAATAAGAGAAGAAGAACTGAAACCACCAAGAACTGAAACCACCAATGAGCTGCAGTAAATTGCAAGGAAAAAAAAAAAGTGTCCCTAATAATTAAGTGTTCGAGCGAATTAAACTGGAAATATTAGCACGCACGCACACAAGTGCACACAAAGTGTACATAAAAGCAAACTGTAAAAATAGATCTTATTCAATGTATCCTTTCGAAAGCGTATGAGCTCATCGTTCACCACTAAAATAAAGAGGCTTCTTAGCATGAAAAGATTCTGGACCTTCATTTTGTCTAGTGTGGGAGTTTCCATTTGTTTCATTTCCATTTCCATTTGTATTTGTGTCTTAATAGAAAAAGTCAACCTGATCCCCGATGGACCCCAAAGCCATGATGCAGAATGGAGACCATTGATAAAAGGTAATCCCCTTTTCTCCCAGCCTGGTGGATGAGATCTGGATGGATTAAATAGATTTGGACCAAATCAACAATGTAGTCATTGATTTATGAAAGTCCCAGCTGTGAGCTTGGCATCTGACCAGAAACCATTTTTTGGAGGCCCTACCCAGGAAAGACAGCCAAGCCTCTTCTTTGCCAGCAAGGTAGAATTGTAAAAGAATCCAAGGATCAGAACGCTCACAAGGTTGGGAGACCATAAACTGGCCTGCAGATATGCCTTATTTGGCTCATTTGGATTTTCAATATTTTTAATTCATTTCCAGCTTTGAAAAACACATGATTTAAAATAGAAAAGCAAGATAACTAATCTTTTGGGGGGAAAGGTAAATATCTGGCAACACTCTACCTGCACGTGGTGGTGACTGGCAAGAAGCAGCTGGGTGCTACCTACTTTGGACAGAATGTGGGTGCTCTGGTTTCCAGTGCCCAAGTCTTTCTCTTGCTCCCGCCTTGTGCTCTTCACTCACGTTGTCGACTGCTCAGCCTCTATAGCCGCCTGAGTGTGTGTCTCCCGATGTGGTCCAATACCTGTGCTCTTTCAGAGGAGGACACACAGTTGTAGGAACTGTGGGAGTCAGCTTAGCCCTCAGAACCAGAGGGTCAGACTCCCCGGCGCTGAGAAGGTGATGTGCTATCACTCCAGACCCAGGAATCCCAGAGAGAGAATCCCAGAGGTCAGGACATGTGGGCAGATTTCCTTACCTGGAGACACTTCTGGAGTCTCAAACCAGGGCTTACTGTTATTGTTGTGAACTACATGGTTATTCTCACTGGAAAGGCCAGGACCAATTTCCAGGGCTCTGCCATCTAACAAAGATTGCACAGGGCAGAGGCATACCAAGGCTGGGCCTGGGAGTGGCTGGCCCCCGCTGCGGTCAATAGCACATAGGTAGTGCCTGTAGACAATGCTAAAACAATGATAAAACTGACTAAAGGTCAGCCTAAATTTTATTAATACCATGCCCTCGCAAATCTGAATCATGTCAGCCAGTCATGTTAGCGATGCTCCTCTCTAAAAAAAATATGATATTGTTTAACTGGTAAACAATTGCTGTGGTTACCTTTCAAGCTTGAAAATATATATGCAACCAGAAAATTAACATATTTCATTATAGCAACATGAAACTCAGCGAATTCTCCACGAGACAGCCTGACCCAGAATGCCTAGACACAGCCATGTATGAATTATCTTTGAGAGTAAATGAGTAATGGTTTGAAATCCTTTGAGCTGGCTTCAGGCTCCGATCCTGTAATATACATTCTTGTATTTCAACAGTAACCTGGAAATAAATAATGATGGCACCATGATCGCGAAGACAAGAAACAGAACTTGAGTGGCTAAGTCTGTCATTGCATGGTTTCTGTTTATAATTTTTCAGCTACAGAGGTATTTGTTTAAAGCCCCTAGAATCAATCATGCTATCTTGAAGAAACAAATCTATGGGTAGTTGCATTTTGGAGGATTTATTATAAAATGGAATTTTTAAAATCTCTGCCAAACTCATCCTTACATTTAAAGGGTTTCAGAATCATTTCCATATAGGTTGCTTAACATAAAAACAACTCTTGGGAATTAAAATTAATAAAGTATGTCTTCTCATCAACTGTGAATAAAATAGATCGAAAACTCTAAGTATACCCTTTTGTCCAGGAATGTGTGAAGAAGATTAATTTTGATGATGTCATCAACAAATGGCCAGAAATTAAGCTTCAAAAGGTAAATGTGTGGAGTGCCTGAGTGGCTCAGTGGGTTAAATGTCCGACTTCGGCTCAGGTCATGATCTCATGGTTTGTGAGTTCGAGCCTTGCATCGGGCTCTGCGTTGACAGCTAGCTCAGAGCCTGGAGCCTGTCTTCAAATGCTGTATCTCCCTGTCTCTCTGACCCTCTCCCGCTCACTTTGTCTCTAACTTTCTCTCAAAAATAAATAAAACGTTAAAAAATTTTTTTTAAAAAGTGAACTGTGACGTTATTCATTACTCTGAGTGAACGATATTATGGTATACATTCTCTTCTTTGAAGATGATGCTAATGTACTTAAAAAGTATTAATTCATTACTCATGCTTCTTTCAAGCCATTATTATTATGATTCTGTTTACTTCAGGATAATACTAAACATAATTTTATCTAGTCAAGAATGGTGATGTTAAAAAAGATAAGCTCTAAGTGACAATTATGCTAGATCTTTCACCTTGGGAAATACCATGCTCTATCTTTACCCCAAACTAGATTCCTATGACTTATCAGATGTAGGTAGGAGGTTTTCACTTGACCCCCATCGGGATGGAATTTAGTGGCAGTTTATTATCTATGATAGAAGTCTCTGCACTGTGATATTTTCCCAGAGCCCACCCCCCTCCTGAAGAGTTAGGGAGTTATTTGCTCTTCAGTTGATCCCGTAGCACTTTGCCCACAAATAAATATGTCATAAATAAATGTTGGCACTATAAGTCTCCAACAAGTAGGCAAGAGCTGTTATCACATAGGGAATGTGCATTAATTATACTATTCCTACTATATTTCAGGTGCCTATAAATGCCATTGAATGGAAGATGGACAGATGGATGGATGGACGGATGGATGGTGCTCCCATCTAAAAACAACGCTTTGTGAATACATGAGATGCACATTTCTACTAAATTAAACAGATGAAATTTAAAAGAGCCATACATTTTCTTTAAGAGCATACTCCAACCCTAAGATAATTGATAGACTTTAAAACCACACCTCACTTGTGTTAAGTATCAGTAAATCTGAATGATTTCTTTGGAAAGCCCTCAATAGCCAATAGCCAGTCAACGATATCATGGGGGCAAGTACAGTACAGTTTCTAAAACTTCAACTGGGTTGCATACCTCTTCATATTTTTGCCTAAGCTATTTTAATTTGTTTATATCATTGTTTTGTGAGTATTAACCTCATGCACTTTTTAAAATGTAAATAAATATCTCAATAAGAAATAACATCTGTAAATATTTGAGCTTTATGGGTCTGTTATGTTCTTTTTCTTTTTAATTTTTTTTAAGGTTTTTATTTATTTCTAGGAGAGAGAGAGGGAGAGACAGCGTGAGCAGGGGAGGGTCAGAGAGAGAGGGAGACACAGACTGAAACAGGCTCCAGGCTCTGAGCTGGCAGTCAGCACAGAGCCCGACGCAGGGCTCGAACCCACGAACTGCGAGATCATGACCTAAGCGAAAGTCGGATGCTTAACCAACTAAGCCACCCAGGCACCCCTGTTATGTTCTTTTTCTAATGCACACTAAAATCAACACAGAAATATTGCCCTCTATTATGTCCATCCTGGAGCCATCTAAAATAACCTTGTAACTACCATGGGAAACACTGGCACTGTTAGAATGAACAGAGACTTTGGGAGAAGATGAATCTGCACTCAAGTCAAAGCGTTGCCATCTCCAAGGTAACTTAAAAGTTCAGTTTTTAGATGTAAATATAGAGATATGGACGGCGACATCAGGGAACTGTGAAGATTAAATGAAATAACATCTGCAAAGCACCTCACCAGAGCCTTCCATAGATCATTTAAATGCTCAATCGTATCTGCTAAAATGTATTGACATTTCACCACTTAAACAGTGTTTTTAAGTTTATCTATTTTGAGAGAGAGAGAGTGTGTGTGTGTGTTTGCATGAGTTGGGGAGGGGCAGAGAGGAGAGACAGAATCCCAAGCAGGTTCTAAGCCATCAGCACCAAGCCTGACACAGGACTGGAACTCACAACTGTGAGATCATGACCTGAGCCGAGATCAAGAGTCAGATGTTTAATTGACTGAGCCATTCAGGCTCCCCGACCATTCTTATTCCAAATATGGCCCCACTGAACCAAAGTGACCCAATTTTATGTAAAGCAGGCATCAGTCATAACAGTCACACTGAATACAAATACATAAATAAAGCTGGACAAGTCTCAGGGAGCAAGACTACAGAATAGAGAATTCTGCAGGGACTGTTTCCTTTGCCTGCTACCTCAGAAATACCACATAGTTTCTCTGGACCTCTGTCTCTTTATCTAATCAAATTGAGGGAGCAAATTTTTCTTCCATCTAAAACATTAGTTGGTAAAATGCTCACTATTTCACAGGCCATTCTTTTGCTTTCCTGTTCTCTCTTATAACCATTCTTATTCTTATTGTGAGAGCCTACATAGAGCAAAGTGCACTGAGAGAGTATAAAGATCTTGTATTGGGATTTCAAGAAAGAATTTTCAAGTTCAAGCAAGTTTTGACTTAAGGTCCCTTAACCCTTCTCCTATTGAAGCATCAACCCAGGCCCTTACCAGCGTGCTCTAATCCCCCTCCCTCTCTCACCCAGGAGGCACCCACTTGCTTTTATTTATTCTTATTTTGTTGAGGGACTTGCACTCTCAGAGAGAAAGTAGGTTAAAATCAAGAGCAGAAATCAATAGCTGGAATTTGAACAGTGGACAGAAATTTTAGTTTACATTTATTTTTCCCCAGGGAGAGAAAAGTGCTTAGAGTTTTGATTGTATGGTTCAGGCTTCCAAAGCATTTAATTAAGATGTCTGAGGCAGATAATAACAAATGTGAGGGATTCAGCTCTCCAAATGATCATCCTGCAGAGGGCCTGGAAACAAACAAGCACTGAAGCAAGAAGACATGTTTCTCTTTTTGCCCCTTCATCCTGAGGACTCAGCAGGCTGGCTACACAAGTGCCCTCTTCAGAGGTCAGCTTGGTGGTGGTAAGAAAAACAAAGTTTCTTCCTTAGGACAGATCTGAGTTCAAATCCTAGATCTGACACTGTCAATGGTAGGACTAAAAGTTACTGAAGTTCTCTCTTCATTTCCACCTATAAAAAAATGAGACTATGTAGGGGTTTGTGGAACCAACAGAGAAACCCTTCTAATTATTTTTTACTGCATAACACACCACTCTGAAATGTAATGGTGTGTCCATGACAATGTTATTTTGCTTCTGAATTGTATGGGTCAGGAATACACATAGAGTATAGCCAGTATGGCTTGTCTGTGCTTCACTGTCAGGAACCATGGCTGGGAAAGATCACCAGGTTGGAGTTGACTTGAATGGAGGAGGCCAGAATTATCTAAAAGCTTCTTCACTTACATGTCTGGTGACTGAGCTAAGATGAGTCAAACGGCTGTGCTTACTGGCATCACATTGATGTAGTCTCAGGGCCTCTACCTGTGATTTCTCCTCAAGTCTTCACCATCATGGTGACCACAGGATGATCAGATTTCCTACAAGGTAGCACAGAATTCTGACTGCAAATGTTCCAGCAAACAAGGTGGAAGCTAAGCGGCCTTGTATGGCCTAGCACAAATAGATATTATATTTATTTTGCTATATTTAACAGTTGCTATATTTAAATGCATCAGGCCCAATACCTGGAACATTATTAGAGCTGTAGAAATATTCTAGAAGAGAATCCCCAAATCAATTTCCTATTGTAATAATACTATAATAAAGATATCATAAAACATGTAAGTATATCCTTCACAAGACTTTTATATTCATTAGTTCATTATGTCACATTATCGCCACCAAAGTAGGAGAAATATATATAAAGCTGTATTCATCAATATGGTGTGGTACTAGAACAAAAACAGACACATAGATCAATAGAACAAAAGAGAAAGCCTAGAAGTGGACCCAAAACTATATATTCAACTAGTCCTCAACAGAGTAGGAAAGAACATCTGATGGAAAAAAGACAGTCTCTTCAACAAATGGTGTTGGGAAAATTGGATGATAACATTAGAAGAATGAAACTGGGCCACTTTTTTACACCAAACACTAAAATAAATTCAAAATGCATGAAAAACCTAAATATGAGACAGGAAACCATCAAAATCCTAGAGAACACAGGCAGCAACTTCTTTCTCTTTGACTTAAGCCCTAGTAACTTATTTTTTTTTAATATTTTTTAATTTATTTCTAGGAGAGAGACACTGCGTGAACAGGGGAGGGTCCGAGAGAGAGGGAGTCGCAGACTGAAACAGGCTCCAGGCTCTGAGCTGGCAGTCAGCACAGAGCCCGATGCGGGGCTCGAACCCACGAACCGCGAGACCATGACCTAAGCGAAAGTCGGACACTCAACCGACTAAGCCACCCAGGTGCCCTGTGCCCTAGTAACTTCTTATTAGACACATTGATGGAGGCAAGGGAAACGAAAACAAACATGAAAAAGCTTATGCACAATGAAGGAAACAAGCAACAAAACTAAAAGACACCCTATAGAATAGAAGATATTTGCAAATGGCATGTCTGATAAAGGGTTAGTATCCACAATCTCTGAAGAACTTATCACATTCAACACCCAAAAACAAATAATCCAGTTAAGGCTTGGAAAGAAGACATGAATAGACATTTTTCCAAAGAAAACATCCAGATGGCTAACAAGCACTTGAAAAAGATGCTCAACATCACTCATGATCAGGGCAATACAAATCAAAACCATGATAAGATACCACTCCACACCTATCAGAGTGGCTAAAATTAATAACACAGGAAAAAACAGATGTTTGTGAGGATGTGGAGAAAGGGGAAATGCAAACAGGTGCACTAGAAAACAGTATGGAGTTTCCTCAAAAGGTTAAAAATAGGACTACCATATGATTCACATATGTGTATACACACACACCACACACGATAGAATATTACTTGGCCTTCAAAAAGAACAAAATCTGGGGCACCTGGGTGGCTCAGTCAGTTACACATCTCACTTTTGATTTTGGTTCAGGACATGATCTCATGGTGCATTGGGTCAATCCCCACATGGGGCTCTGCACTGACAGAGCCTGATTTTATAATATGCTTGCTTGGGTTTCTCCTTCTCCCTCTCTATCTGACCCTCCTTTGCTTGTGTGCACATGCTCTGTCTCTGTCTTTCTCTCTCAAAATAAATAAACATTTTTTTTAAAAAGAATGAAATCTTGCCATTTGTAATGACATGGATAGAGCTACACTTATACTAAGTGAAATAAGTCAGTCAGAAAGACACAATGGTTTCACTCATATGTGGAATTTAAGAAACAAAATGGATAGACATAGGGGAAAGGGGAAAAAAGAGAGGGAAGCAAACTATAGGGGACACTTAACTATAGAGAACAAACTGAGGGCTATGGAGTGGGATGGGTAGGGGGTGAGTTAAATGGGTGATGAGCATTAAGGAAGGTACTTGTGATGAGTGCAGGGTGTTGTGTGTAAGTGATAAATCATTAAGTTACTCCTGAAACCAATATTATGTTAAGAAGTATGTTAACTAGATTTTAAATAAAACAAAAATTTGAAAAATAAACAAATGAAAGATGTTACCTGAAATAAAAGTAGGAGAAATATGTATGTATGTATGTATGTATGTATGTATGTATTTACTGTGGAAATAAAGAAAGTGAAATTCAGACAAGTTAAATCAGTTCTCCAGAATTATATAAACTATACTAAGTAGTATAGTTGGGAACAAAACCCAAGATGTACATTCATGATGCAATCTGTTTGACTTTTAGAGTGAATGGGTATAAATCTACTCAAATATATAAGTGTACAGTTATACAAATTGTTTTTGACAAAGATAATTCCTTTTTTTAATAGTTTATTGTCAAGTTGGTTTCCATGTAACACCCAGTGCTCATCCCCACAAGTACCCTCCTCCATTCCCATCACCTCCCTTCACCTCCCCTCCCACTCCCATCAGCCCTCAGTTTGTTCTTGGCATTCGAGTCTCTCATGGTTTGCTGACGAAATGGGAAAAGATAGTTGCAAAGACATAGCAGATAAAGGGCTAGTATCCAAAATCTATAAGGAACTCACCAAACTCCACACCGGAAAAACAAACAATCTAGTGAAGAAATGGGCAGAAGATATGAACA